TCAGGCATGAAAATGTGCCGCTCAAACACTATACTTTTCCGCTCACACTGAAAAAAAATTAGAGGGAACATTGACCAGAGTATAAGATGCACCTAGATTTCGAACAGGAAAATAAGAAAAAATTAGTTTTTGCCTCCGCTTGTCCCATTTTCACCCTCCCCAGCCCTCAGGAGCACTCTGTAGGCCTCCTAAACCCTCCGCACATCCCATTTTTGCCAAAAACTGGCCATTATCGCAAAAAACTGACCCATTTTTGATCTTCTGAACCCCCCATGCATCCCATTTTTGCCCTCCCCAGCCCCCAGGAGCACTCTGCAGGCCTCTCAAACCCTTCACACATCCCCTTTTCACATAATCGAGCCAAAAATGGGGGGGGGCTGTTTCGGGAGGCCAAAACAGGGCCGTATTCGGTCTATAAGATGCACAGACATTTTCACCCACTTTTTTTTGGCGGGGGGTGGGTAAAAAGTGTGTCTTATAGTCTGAAAAATACGGTACATAATTTTGTATATTGTTTTCCTCATCCACAGCTTCTTTGCCTTCATTTCACCAAGCATCTTTTCCCATAGTTTGGTGCACTTCTTTGATTTCATTCTTTCCACCCTATTCTAAGTGGCTGCCACATTTTTTATTTTTTATTACCTTTTTTCTTCATTCTTTTGGAAGTTAATCTTTAATATTTTTGCATACAGAACTGAGACTTCTTGTTTTGCTTTAATTCTAGTTTCTTTCACCTCTCCCTTTTTTCCATGCCCATTTTTTTCTCAAAACCTATTTCATATTACTAATTGGAAACACTTTGCACTAAATTTGCCTTCTAAATCCAACATTCCTAAACTAAACTGAATGTCCATAACTTCCTTTAAATCTGTTAGATAAAACACCCAACATAAGGAATTTTGCAAGCGACTGCTGTTGTCAAGGGAAATTATCAGCAATTAAGATTATCCAAAGATTTGTCTGTGAGCTTTTATCCTGAAGCCTCAGAAAGAATATTTAACTAAAGCCCTGTTAACTGTGTAAACATAATAAAAAGAGAAGTGCTTATGCTTTGGTATATTTTTATGGACAACAAACTACAGTGCCTTCCTACTCCATATTATTTCAAAATAGCTTTACAACACTTTCAGGTGCCAACACAATGACCTCAATATTTAAATATATATCTAGAAGTTCTGCCTATAAATAATAATTTAATTGGCCTTGTTATTCCACATTTGCAAATCCACCTATTTGATAAAATATATTTGTAACCATTATATTAACAGTGTTTTCATGATCATTTGCCGACACACAGAGTCTTAAGAATTTGACACATTCCAAACTAAGATTTTAGTATTTGCTAATTCAGTGTTTGCCTCAACTTTATAGAGCATAACGTCCATGAATAATGAAAACTGACTGTATATGCAGACTTTGGAAGTGTTCCCAGGATGGTGAACATTCATTAATTACTAAGCATAATTTAATAGTAATTCACTAACAATGATACCTTGTAAAAGAACTAATATAGGTACAGCATTATAATTTGTAAAATTATAACAAGATCTGTTTTTGATTTTTTTAAAGTAACTTCTTCAAAGCTATGTATATACTTATAATCAAGAGCAATATGTTGTGAATGTGTGTTAACGAAAATGTCAATGGATGATTGATTAAAGTAAAATCATTGTTTCTCCTTTAAGTGAAGTAGTCAGTGCTTCCGTCTTAGGGCAGGAAGTAGTAATATCAAGCCAATGGGAACTCATATACTTTCAATTTATCATTTGCTATCCAGTAAGCTTCCTGTACCATGTTTTTTTAAATTAACATTTTAAATTTTTTTTAAGAAATGAATAGAAAGTTAACCTGTTGCAAAGTAAAATGTTTTGCAACAAAACTGTTGAGATTCTCAGTAGTCCCATTAGTAAAGTGGAGACAATCATGTGTGGCTAGTTCATCTTTTTGTGAGATTCCATTAGCAAGAATATGGTGTGATCAAAACTTCACGTACTGTTATTTATTTGATTTCCTTTTTATTGTAAGGTTTTAGTTGAAATACCTTTGGTAGCCAAATTATTACTGGTATTATTATTATTACTTATTACTTATTTTTACTGGATATTTCTATTGTCTTGGAAAAGTTTTGTAGAATGGCTGTTTTAGGTCAACAAAACAAAAAATTGTTTCATAGAATAATTGTTGTACTATCTTAGTTTTACATGAACAGCTATTTGTACAAACTAACCCTCATTTGAGAAATGGAAAGTGACTACACCACATAGAAAATAGGAACAGCAGTATTAAACAAATATATTAACAGCCTAAGCGTTACTGCAAAGTTGATAATTTCTTTTATTATGGAGCATTATTTAGAAAAAATGATGATGGGCATTTGTTTCTAATTTACAGATTGTCCCAGAACTCCAGATACACCAAATAGTGATCCTCGCTTTCCTAACAACAGATTAATTGCCTTAAAGAAACAGTTAAATATAGAATTGAAAGTAAAGCAAGGAGCAGAAAATATGATTCAAATGTATTCAAATGGTCCATCAAAGGTAAGACTTATCAGCTCACACAGTTAATCAGGTTTTCAGATGAGGGATTTAAAACTTCACAGTCAAGAGAGGCAATATAAATAGATGCGTACCAGAGTAATGGATAATTTTCTGTCCTGTCGCTAATTACAGATAAGTCATGCTTGAATTCAGTAATACACTATTTAATTTTCATGTTTGGAACAATCTGTTGAGATCGTTAGATTTGGAATATCTGATATTACAGAATGGTGAGTTTGGGGAGGTGTAGAAATCATTATATGCTATGTTTAAAAGTTAATTTCTGAGCAAATCATATATTTTGTTGGTATCTATTTGTACCAAGGGGAGTTTCTGCTGCTTTTGACAGGATGTACTAGCTCATCTAGGGGTTATGATACAATTTCCACATCCTCCAGTAATGTGCCCTGATAACATTACCAGTAAATCATATTTGGAAATATTGTTTCTGCACCAAACCATGAAACAGTGTTTATCAGCAATCATAAATAGGAATTCAGTTTTGGCATGTAGAGCATAAACTACAGAAATGTAGATTTCTACAATAGAATCGAATGTATTACAGTGACAGAGTTGGCAGTTTGAATTGCTTCTTGATGGTTCACTGACCTTTCTGAAAATCAATTTGTAGCTTTCCAGACACCTTCACTTATATATTAAATTACATTGTTAATCTTGCTGCTGAACTACTAACATAGAAGAAAACTTCTTCAAGTCCTTTCTATTACCTTCAAATTTTAAACTGTATGTGTATATGTTGTGTGATAGAAAGAGAAAGAGTAGTTTTTTTAAAAAAAAAAATTCTTCATTTGTATAAATGCTCTCAGTATTATATACTGCAAATAAATGTAGTAAAAATCCTGACAATTTCTTTTTTGTTCTGTCTCTTATTCTATTGGCTTTAGTGCTCTAATTTCTAAATTATTCTGGATGAAATAAAAATAATAAAAGAAATTTAAACAATAAGGGTGTATTTGATGCCTATACCTGATATAGCCAAAATTTAAACAAAATGTATTGGTAGTTGTTGCACGATAGTTTTTAAACCATACTGATTTCTGAATCTTGTTCAGTTTGTCAGAATTCATATTCTGAAAAGAGAGTGTGAATTGTTGGTACTTAAAACTCATTGGAGAATTCAAATTTTAGTATCACATAACTGCTTTTTCTTTCTTTTTTTAGGATAGAAAGCTGCTTGCAACAGCTCAACAAATGCTTCAGGATAGCAAGACAAAAATTGAAGTCATAAGGATGCAGATTCTTCAAGCAGTGCAGACTAATGAATTGGCTTTTGATAATGGTGAAACTTTAGAGAGAAAACCTTTCACTAAACTCTTTATAGAATCTTCTAACTCAAAACTTTCATGGGACTTTTTAAAAAGTCCCAAGTCCTAACTCCCACATACTACAAGGCCAGATCAGTGCTCAATCAGTCTTCTTCCTCTCCCATTAGTCTAGGAATCTGTACCACAGTTTAACATAAGATATTCTGAAAAGGCTCATTAACCAGGCTCCTGTATTCTTCTTCTACAACTGGTTGACAGACATGGGTATGCACACACCGCCTTGAGCAAATCATAACTTACTGCCTGTGTTGACTCCCTGTGGCTCATGTCAAATCCCTAATGTTGTCATCCAAATCCCATTTTTGTAGTAATGTCTCTGGACTGCTCAGAACTCTCTGTGTTATTATTACACCTCATTCTGGATAAAGTTTATGCAGAATAGATTATTATGGAGGGGGGAATCTCTTATGAGTATAAGCTTTCCATCCACTCCTCATTAACAGTTTAAATGTCCTTATTTATTATTTATATTATTTACTAAACAAACTTATATAGCTGCCCATCTTCCAGAAGAAACTGGACATTGAACAGAATAAAACCACAATACAGTAAAAAACAACAAGCTATTTAAAATAAGAAACAATATTGAAAGCCCAGTAATACTTGCATTCTTCCAACAGCCACCCCATGCCTTTCTATTAGTATTCTAGCCCAAGCACCTGGGGGAAAACCAAGTGTAAAAACCAACAGGGTCAGGGATAGGGTCATATCTCCAGGGCAAGACTGTTCTGTAAGGGAAGTGCCATGATACAGCATGCTTCTGAGGCCTCCAGGATCTGAAGTATGCCTGATTTCCCCTACAGGACTTCGAGTATCCCCAGCCTGCCAGATCTAGTAGGATAAGCAGAAACCATTGGGCTGTCTCACAGTTAACTCTCCCCCATTCCAAGTGAGAGTTTAAAAGTATACATGCCCAGTGCATTTAGATGTCATGTGACAAGCCCATCAATCAGTAGGCTTGGGTAAGAATGCTACTGGCTTGCTACTGTTTCTTGTAGATGAGTCAGTGCTGTAACTAAGCCTGTTAAAACTAGACTAAGAAAGATGGACTAAGAACACTCTTAAAAGCTTTCTGCGTACACCAAGTCTTTTTTGTACATTGTGTGTCAAAGATGATTTCCATCTATTGCAGCCAGCTGAATTAAGACAGGTATGAATTACTGAAAAAGTAATAGCATTGTATATTGTTATCACTAAAAATGCAGGCATAACTAAAGGGCCAAGACGAGAAAGTCGAAAGTAATAAAGACAGAACTTTTTGTTAAGCAAAGGGAATGGAAAGGTCAGTAGTTCATGCTAGATAAAAACAATTGCTAAGAGTTGGAGACAGGAAAAGTAGATGATACGTTGTTGTCAAAAAAAAAAAAAAGGAAAAAAGAGGTAGTTTGTCCAGTGTGGAAACTGGAAGACTGTGAATTCTAATCCTGCCTTGGGCACAAAGGTAGATGAGTAACTCAGGCCAGTCACTCTCAGCCCTAGAAAGGAGGAGGCAGTGGCAAACCATTTCCAAAATCTTGCCAAGAAAACTGTAGAGGCTTGTCCAGGCAATCACCAGGAATCAATACTAACTCAAAAACACATGCACACACCAAAAGATATTATCTTATGTTCAGATAGTCGTTCATTAGTGTGAAGGTAAAGAGGTCTCTGCTGTTCAAATGTATAGGTGTTTGTGTGTAAAAGAAATCCCTTGTGTCCTTTGTAAAGTTTAGAAAATTAATGCAGTGGATGTCTGCCCACACCAAGATGGATTTTTAAAGTTGTTTCAGTTGGCATTTGCTCTGCCATGAATCTGTTGGCAAGTAAAACACCCCTATTCAAAAAATCTTGGTGGACTTTTGTTAATTTGTAGGTGAATGTCACATTAAGCTCTACAGAACGTAAGAGAACCATCCCTTGAGTGCTTAGTTTGCTTCATTTACCTATCTATACCCCCAATTTTATATGGCTGGTTAGTAAATCTGTATTAGACCTACAAAGCAGAATCCATGGGATTGGATTCAATTTGGACAAGATAGCAGATATGGAGTCATAACACAAACTCTTCTTTTGTATGCACATGTAACATTGGCACACGTACAAAAGAGGGCAGACTTGCCTGCTTTAATGCCCTCTCTCCCCAGAAAGGTCACGTGAACTGTAATACATCTATTAAATGTTTTTCCCCCCATTTTTATTGGATAGTGTAATATACTAATAGTTCAATGTAATAGTTAGTACTAATTTTTGTTTATTTTTATATGTATAGCAAAGCCCGTGATAAGCCCTCTTGAGCTTCGAATGGAAGAATTGCGACATCATTTTAGGATAGAATATGCAGTAGCAGAAGGAGCCAAAAATGTTATGAAGTTGTTCGGCTCTGGAAAAGTTACTGACAGAAAAGCGCTTTCAGAGGTAATTTTTATGTAATAAGTGAAATTTAAATGTAAGTATGTTAAAAGAGTTTTTCCTAATTGATTTTTTTTCTCTGTTTAACTGAATAAGGCTCAAGCAAGATTTAATGAATCAAGCCAGAAGCTGGATCTCTTGAAGTATTCATTAGAACAAAGGCTAAGTGAACTCCCTAAAAATCATCCCAAAAGCGGTATTATTATAGAAGAACTTTCACTTGTTTCATCACCAACACTAAGTCCACGGCAAAGTATGATATCTACACAAAATCAGTATAGTACACTGTCCAAACCAGCAGCATTAACAGGTTTGTTGTGGCATTAATAGCTACATATATTTGTGTGCTTTGGTTTCTAACTTGAAAATATTTGTTACATTAAAAGAAACAATGCAGTTTTGTACATTCAGGAACATCTTTAAATATAAAATGGCATAGCAATCATACTTAAATACGTATTATCTCTTAGAAAATGAGCAGTGGCTATTTTTGGCCAAGTTCTTTCTTTCTTTCTTTCTTTCTTTATTTATTTATTTA